AAAAAAAAAAAAAAAATAAACGACAAATTTAAGAGTCATATATTTTTCAGAGTATCCTCAGTACCGGATAGCATAAAGAAGAGAATTAATATTGAAGTTAATACGGTCGACGGTTTTCAAGGTCAAGAACGAGATATTATAATAATGTCCTGCGTTAGAAGCAGTGGTATTGGATTTATGTCGGACAAGCAGAGACTCTGTGTGGCTCTTACAAGAGCTAAACACAGTTTAATATTATGTGGAAATTTTAATACTTTTATGGTAAGCATGATGATGAACTTTAATTGGTAATAGTTGTTATAAAAACAAATGGAACTAAGGTAATTTCTTGACATTACCTAGATTAAGAAGTTTTTCTGTGACTTCCCGTTTGTCTACAAATGCATAGAGTGAGGATAGAATTTGAAGCCTGGTAGCACTGATTACTAATCAATCTTTCTAAGCTTTGAGTCACGCGTTACTTTAACAGCAGTTAAATTTAAACAATTTTATGTTACTATCTATACTTCTTTAATTTCAATTAATTAATAAATTGTTTGTTTCGTAGAAGGATCCTATGTGGAAAGCATTGTTAGCCGATGCACGCGGTCGTGGCATTTTTTGCAATGTCGATGCCAATGCATCACCTGCCATCATTAGAAAATTTGTTGTTAGAAGAAAAAATTATTCATAAAAGCTTTAGACTTAACATCATGAACAATTTCACTATCCATGTACGTTTTGTATATTTTGTAAATATCTAGGCTAAGTTTGACCATTTAAATACATTATTTTCAATGAAAAATGTATAATAATTCGAAAAACTGTTATATTTATATTCTTTTATACAGACAGTACTTTAGTAATTACTAATAATTGCATTAAAATTAAGTATTAATCATTGTTTGAATCTTACATTGTATAAACAAAGATTAATAATTATTATATTACTTTTTATATATTATTCGTTGTACTTTATTTTTAATTACATTTTTATAAGACATCTAGCTAGAAGCAGAAAATTTAACAACCATATATTTTTTAAATGAATTTGGAAATGACATTTTCTTATTTATTATACATTTTCATCTATTATCTTTAGTATTATATTTAAATTTTTGTTTCAAATTTATTGAACTATATCTCAAATTTATATTAATAGTTAATATTAATTAATAATAATTACATAAATGTTAACTCTTTGAGTGTATACGTTTTTCCGATATCCTCGCAGTGAATATATGGATATGTCAGATTTAGTGCCATTTTTTATCTTAAAATATTTAAAAAAATATTCAACAATCTGAAAATATTCATGAAATATTTGTCTACATTATAATTGAAAATAAATATTTTATGGTTATTTGAAGAAACATTGTTTACTAAACATTTTATTTTTAATGAATTCCAATAGAAATGAAGAAAAAAATATAGATTTTTTTAAATTTCTAATTATTTTTCCTATACAGAAGAGAAAAAAATTCTTTTAAAGTTTTCACGTCGAAGATAAGTGTTCAAGAAAAAAATAGTCCAGATTGATATCTGCAAAAAAGTTGAATACAGGAGAGTAAAAATGACTAATTTTATAGTAGAAAAAATTGTCGACAAGGAATTAAAGATAAAATTATGTATAATTTATGAATATATTTGATAATAATCTACATATATTTATATCTATAGATATAATCTAAGTATAATAGAATTTATGTCTAGATATAATCTAGATCTCTGTATATCTGATATATTTGACATTCTATTTTTTGACAATAACGAAATAGAAAACTTTTAAGGAGATGTTATTTTGATGAAAAATAATATTTTTCATGCATTAGCAAAATTGTTATTTATAGAAAGAGATTCGAGACGTCTGTACACGTAGATTTGAAATGTTCATGCGAAATTTTGTATGTTCAGCGGTACGGTGATCTTTCATAGCGATGCTTAGAGCCTTGAGTCCCCTCTATCACTTAACTTTTTTTTTTAACGAAAAGGGCCAGACAGGTAGGTCTGCCAGTTTTACAATTATGAGCAAATATTATTTTAATCCAAATGCCGTAAATCCAGTTGCACTCGGAGAGTTAATATTAATAACTTCATGCATATACAATAGATTAACAGAATATTGTTGCAGATTAACAATTAATTATATCTTAATAATTATATCTATTAATTATATCTTTATCATTAAGTTCGTATTTTGTCAAATGATATATGCTACTATATTCTGATAACAAATTATCTTATATTTTCTGTTATTATTGTATAAATTTTGGAACATAAAATTGATTTTTAACGGATTTGATTATTCAACGAACAATTCTTATATTATGTGCCTCTCGAAATCTTAGTTCCAGAAAACTGCTCTTTATTTAATCATTTATAATTCGAACGTTACCGTAAGGCTTTGTTAAGGAAAGATTGCTCGAAAGAGATGTATAAAAAAAACTATTCGACTTGGAGATGAATAGATGAGTCTGCGCATGTGCCCGAAGCACCACCCCTTCTTTCATTTCATCAATGGTAAGCGAAGTCAGTCAGCTGATAGAAGTTGGCGTTCATCTTGTGAAATCTTTTGAAGTCATTTTTGACACTTGTTGATCCACATCTAATATTTCTCAATTACTTCGTAATTATGGTTGTATTTCAAAGTATAACGGTGAACGAATATAAAAACAATTACATGACATTCCAGTTGTTATATGCGTTTCATCAGACACCTTTTGGAAAATGTCTTGTCGCGATAACTGACACCGACGAAGACGTAGCGTACCTAGGGTTCGTCGACGATGATGAGGCAATGGCTCTTAGAGATCTGACGGCGAAATGGCCGTTGACTGTGGTATCGAAGGATACTGCAAACAAAACTGGGACTGTTATCGAGAAGATTTTTCATTCCAACGACCTTCATTCTATTCACGTCCTCATGAAAGGTACGGCATTTCAAATCAAAGTTTGGAATTCTCTGATCAAGATCCCTGGAGGAACTGTCACGACGTACGAAGACGTCGCGCGGATGGTGGACTACAGTTCCAAAGCTGCGATAACGGTGGGAAATGCAATTTCCAGGAATTATATTGCCTACGTTGTGCCGTGCCACCGTGTGGCAGCGAAGACGCATACCCGGAATGCCAAGTATGCTTGGGGACTTGAAAGAAAGGAAGCTATCCTGAAATACGAGAGACAGCTGTTTGCGTAAAACAACAAATATATGTGTATACAATAAATATATTTATATATTTTTATATGTGAGATAATAAAACCATCACGATATGTGTAAATAAAATTGGTTTCGTGTATGGTCTTTTTAAATTTTGCACTTGCATTTGATTATATTCAGAGGACCATACCTTCTCCTTGTCAAGTATGCTTGTAAATACTTGAGAAAGTATTCTGGAACACAAAAAATAACTGTTTATATAAAATACTACTGTGTATATTTGTATAAGGTATGCGAGATGACAAAATCAATATTTGTACGTAAGTGTTTTTGTATTAATATTTGTATTCTTAAATTTTTTTCTAAATTTGTAAACTCGCAAACTACATTCAATTTATAGTGATTTGATAGCTTTATAATTACGATTTTGATAACTCTTATAATTGCGTTTATGATTTATAATTATATTATGTGTATTTTTTTCTATTTTCTCTTTCTTTCTCTCTTCTCTTCTCTCTTTAATTAATTCAAAAAATTAATATCTTAGTTTCCAGAATGTGAATAAGCAGTAAATTTTAAATATGTAAAATAATGTATTCAAAATAATGTATTCTTTCTTTTAATTGTAAATATTATATGGAGTGAATAGTATGCTTAAAGAGGATAAATGTTTATTTTTCTCACATACCTTGTAAAAGTACAAAATTCCTTTTGTTAGTATAGTAAAATACAATCATCATATCCTAAAATGTCTCACTTGATTCCAAATATTTTTAAAAACCATCAGTTATTGTCACTTATATTTATATAAAACTTTTTTACGACGGTTAGCTATATAATCTTATTAAATCGAATACTTTCATTATCGCTGTAAATGCAGGTAGAAGTAACAGAAAATTAAGTTATTATACATACACACACGCACACACATATTTCTTAATTAATATTTAGCGTATAACTTCTAATGATATCACGAATATGTTGCTCAAATACAGCAATGCTTGTTTTTAATTCTACAATACTCATTCGTAAATCTTATTTTAGGCATCTAAATTTACGTAACGCATTCCTTAAATATCTTATTATTGCTCACTTGATTCTTTTATACAATTGTACACCTTTAATTGAAGTTATAAACTCGCTGACATTTATATTAAATATAAATTAAATATAAATGTAAAGTGCATTATAAAGACGTAAAAAATCAAATTTTTAATAATTCTAGATAAAAAAAGCATCTAAAGTAGCAATTATATTTTCTATACAAATCGTAAATATGTATAAATATGTACTTAAAAATGTCCATTGTTATCAATAATATGCACTAATAAATAATCGACGAGTTTACACATGTTATGTACACCTATTTTCATTTTTCGCATTAGTTTTAAATATGAAAAGTTAATACCGTGTATAACACAATAATATACTCATATAAATTTTTTACTCATGTATTATATTTTTATATTATATAGAGATTTATATGTGTTAAACATAGTATTAACTTGCTTTCACATTTATATTATTATATTTTATATTATTAGACTGTGATATTTCTGTGAATTTAATCTATGTTTTAATTGTGCTGCAATTAAAGAACATCTTTATAAAACTTCTTTATACAAGTAAAAATTGCCCTCTGTCCTTATAGAAATTTAATAAATCTAATTTAATACTGAAAATTACTTATTTTGTATATTAAAAATATTGAATAACAATACTTTTAATACTCAAATGTAGTAATTAATTATTTTAATACTAAAAGGTAATAATTAATTATTTATTTGGGTATTAAAGTATTATTATTCAATATTTTTAATATACAAAATAAGTAATTTCTAGTATTAAATTAGATTTTTGTAAGAGTGATATTATGTTGTTTTGAATATTAGTATCTATTTTTATATGCCAACCTTTTCTTCATTATATGTAAATATTCTAAAATACATTTTAATTCTCAGAAATCAAAAATTAATACTTCCGCTCATGTTACTAACTTATTTTTCACTTTTACAGAGGGCTATCTTTTTTTTATTTTCTTTGCAAAGTTTTACATCATTGATATGTATTTTTCGTGAAAATACATCTTTTTATTGATTAAGAATATATATCTGCTATAATCATTTATTCTTAATAAATGAAAAAAAAGAAGCTAAAAAAGATTTAATCATATCGTATTAAAATAATAGCTTTATGTCAGTCTTATATAACTGTATAATTCATTTATCTTTCTATATCGAGCTATTTCCTTTTTTTATTATGGCGCATTTTCTGCTCTACGAACATTTGAGAGAAATTTTACTTGTATCACTATAAAAAATATCACTGTTTGGACTACTCTAAATAATACAAAGATATAAGGGATGCTTGACAGGTCCTATTTAATTTAAAGAAAGTTTACTATGAATGATCTCAAAATCCTATCTCATAGCATTTTTTAAAATAAAATGAATTTATTATTAAAAAATTATTATATCAATAATTACTGTCCTTTTTAGAGTACTGTATCATGTTTTCATATTAATGTAATGTTGTTTCATAAGAAAATTATTATTTACGGCAGTGGCTCTTTGGATCTTCGTGAAAAGTCACGAGAAAATATCTATCTTACAAGGCAGTGCATACGACTGAGACCTAACTTGTAGCCTATCTTGCTCTGAAGTTAAATAAATAGCAACATTCATAGGGTATCATAGTAGGGATCAATCATCACAATTTCATCATCGGCGAAACAGTTCATAGTATAATTACAGCTCTTATCATTAAGTCTTAAATATCGATAAAAAATATTTCGCAGCTATGAAATTGTTCACTTTGTAAAATTCTATGTGCGTTCGACCGCTCGCTCGATGGAGCAGAACACATTTTTTTAATTTACAGTTTTATAAACAAGCAAGATCTCATAAAATGCAGTGTGGGCGGAGTGATGCGTGAGGTGGAAAAATACAATATACAATACACATACTTCCACATTTCTTTACAGTATCGTTTCGCGTCTTCGCAATAAATTACTGGCTTACTTATGTCGATTGTCTACCACACATAACAAAAATGCAGCAACGTGTATACTAATTTATTATATTCATTCACTATGAAGTTTGAAAAGACGGTATCATTATTCGAGCGTGTACGAAGAGGCTGTATAGAGACGCAATGATCACAGTAGCGAGGGACATAAAAGTTGTGAACATTGATGGCCTGTAAAGAGTTGACGAAGAAACTGCATTTCCTGATCCTCGAGTAGCTCCTGCGATTAAGAAAAAAAATTATTCAATTTCAGTCATCTCTTCATATCTAATTAATTTTAATTTCCAATAGATCACAAAAAAATTGTCAAAAAGAGATATAATATGTATAGTATATTATGATAATGTTAGATAAATTATACTAAAGGAAAGATGATTATATATTCTTGATTCAAAAAAAGTTATAAGAATTGAACAATAAAATCATATTTAATTAATCTACCTGATATCCTCGATCGTGGAGTCGTTGTAATCCTCATTATTGGGTTGTGAGGGATTGGTTTTATTGGAGTTGGTGCAGGACTCGGCGAATTTCCATAACATTGACCTTAATATAATAATATACATTAAATAATACTTATATAATATAATTTATATAATATATAATATATATAACTTATATAATATAAATTAAATAATATTAATAACAATATAAAAGTCGTCCATTATCTATTATGATAATGAAACAAAAAGATTTTCTTCAAGATAAATTTTGTATTTTATTATACAAATTTATATGACTGTTCCAAAAAGCATTTAATTTATGAAACAAACAAATATATAGAAATATATCGATAAAGAACACTCACCTTTTTTATAGAGACGCATACCCTGCGTTTTAGGATCTATATTTCGCATGCAATGATCGCCGGCTTCTTTAATGTATATTTCCTCGTCGTTGACGATCAGACCAACGAAACACTCATTTGTAGCAGTGTCATTTCTCATAGTATAGGTATACATCACGCCTTTTTCCTCCCACTGTCCCAAGCATAGATATGTCCGTTCTAAAATAGCAAATGCATCGTAGAAAAAAAAAAGAAATAATTTGAATGAATAATAATATATAAGTATATAAATGTAAATAAAACATATAACAATTAATAAAAAAATAAATATAATAATATATAAATATGTAAATTTTCAAACTAAATTACTTGAAATTATTTATTTAAATTAATAAAATTTATATCAAAATACCACATAAGAATAACCAAACTCAATAATACCATTGTGAAAAAAAAAACTATTTGCAAATTATACAATTGTATCTTATTAACACTTTGTAGTCTTCCTACATCTTTTATCTATGTCTAATAATAAATTTTTCACTTATCTTCACTTTTTTTTATCTTTTCATGCATACCTTCATAAAGTTCTCCGGACTCGCAATCGCTCACTTTAAAATACATTATTTCGCGAGTATTGCAATTGCTGCTTAATTCGGCACACATTCCCGACAAATCTGTTATCATTCCCATGTATTGGCCAGTAATTGGACAGGGTGATTCCACTACACGTTCGATACCTTATCAAAAAAACATTTATGCATCAAATAATTGTGTACTTTAAAAATATACAAGTTTATTAAAGATATAATAACAATTATAAAAAGAATATGATTTATGTAAGTAATATATATATATATATATATATATATATATATATATATATATATATATATATATATATATATATATATATATATATATATATAATGTGCCCGTATTAATATATATTTCACTTACGTGCTTGAGTCATCCATGTTGGTCCATCCAAATGGGGATCATCGCATAAATCCGGCTGATAAGCCACTAAATTCAAGATCGCTCCTACACGTAACATTATCTTTATTATTACATGCCTTGAAATACTTGTGAATAAAATGCGATATAAAAGAGACATATTGAATAACGAATAATGAAAAAAATATATATTCTTTAAGAATTTAATATTATATTTATTTTTTATGTTTAAAATTATTACTTTAATTAATTTCTACGTATTCAGAAAGTAAAATCTTCAATTTAATTAAAACAGACTTTCTTGAATTCTTGAAATATTAAATTATAAAACTTTTGACGAAACTTTTGTCGATATTAACAGAGCTGCCACGTAATGAAGAATTATACGGAATAATTGATCAAGGAAATAATTACCTAACGTAAATTCCAGTACGTTTTCGCTACGTTGCCTCATCATTAAACACAGAAAAGCGGATCGCTCGCTGAAATTAAAAGTAAAAATGCTCGTTTCACTTTTAACTTTCACTATTAATAAAATAATTCTTAAAGATGCAAGAGTACCCGCGTCTTTTATATATATATATATATATATATATATACTACAAGAATGAGCTTATCTCTAATTTTTTATTTGTACCTTTTGACAAAATCAATCTGCAATAAATGCAAATTAAATAATTATTCACCATTGATCCTGAGAGTATACGATATAACGACCAGACTCCTCGTTTGAGTCCACTGTGATGAAGGTGTAACTGTTGTAGCCATTGAGATCGGTGAAAGTCATAGTTCCATTAACTATCAGGGACTCCTCCCACACTCCTTGCGCCCACTTTGGAAATCTAAAATTTTTTTAAAAGCATTATTATCGATTATTATAAGCAAAGCGTCAATGTTAGTTTTAACATATAATTTCGTTCAAGAGTTATGTGTGAGTTATGTAGAAAATTAGCGATGGCAAAATTCGGCATACTCACGTAGCAACATGAGTCTTCACGAAATCCGGAACTATCTTTTGATTTAGACTTTTGCTCAAAATCAAAGTTTCATATCCGCTAGTTGCATTTTCTAAATCCTGTGTGCAGCTCGAGTCACTGCTAAATGCCATATAAGTTTTACCCTTCTTGTTATCACTGTAGTATAGCTAAAAATTACATTATTTATAAATTGTCAATGGTAATCTTGTATGCAAAGTGTGATTAGTATCATGATAAATTAATGCTTTCGCGTGGCATTAACAAAATTAAAAAAAAAAGAAAAAAAATGCCGCTATTGTAACGATATGAAAATGGTAGTTCAAAATGGTAGTTTTTGGCTTTTTTCTCAAAATTCTGTCTTGATAGCCAAATATGATTACTAATAAATTTGTATTTCAGCAGCAAAAATACATTGAAAATGGTTAATTAAAATTCGAGAAAAAAAGAAGAAGAAGAAAAGAAATTTTGCCGGACAATGTTTGAAGGAAAAAAAATACATGTTTTGTTTTTACATCACATAGATTTGTATTAAGCGAGCAATTGTATTACTTTACTGCTATCTTAGAATTGTTTATTATATAACATACCCCGCATCTGTATTCAGGCCTGTCATCATCAGCATTGTTATCCCAAAGAGCAAAATATTTCGAGTCATTCGGCCCAGGCCAACTGCCCAAACAATTGTATACAAGAGCTGTTGGAATAAGATATTTCCAAGGTGATTTCTGAGAAAGTAATTTGTAATTTCTTTGTCCTTACTTCAAATTAAACCTTATCATCAATTGACGAGTACAATAACAAACACAGCACATAACATTTGATTTGTCGATCACGATATAATAGATATTCACTTACTAAATTCTAATTTGCGAAATCTCAAGCACAGTTAACTTTATTGCTTAAGTCTACATTTTTAAAAATATACGAATCTCTTAAATAATATAGATCGCTTCTCAAATATTTATTATAAATATAATGTATTTTCATTAGAAACATATATGCATTTTTTTGTTTATTTTTATTTTATTTATGTTGATGTAATATCATGAAGAAAAATTTGAAAGAAAAGAAGACGCTTACGCTTCGCTTCGAAATTGCATCGTTTGAAGTTCAATTGTAACACCGAGCCATTCGGGCAATTACTGAACTCGGAGGAGAACGTGTTGCATTCCAATGATATCGCAGAGTTATTGTTAATGCTGTATTTGAAGTGATAAAGACCAACGATGGGACAATATTCATTTCGAATCGGCAAACCACCGATTTCTTTCGTTCCTAATAACAGAAAAATAAGAATGACTTAGTCAGTCTCAGTCCTTTTTTTATCGATAAAGAAGGCTCATAAGCTATTTTTAATTTTACATTATTTTTAAGCACTTTTATATTCGATAAAAGAGAATTCAGAATATACCTTATTCATTTTCTTTTAGATGTATCATGTATTTTTTTTATACATGTATACACATAAATATATATATATATAAAACAATATTTTTCATTTTTCTTCAACAGAAAGATATATTTCACATTTAATAAAAATTGAAATTAGGATGTAGTTTAAATGCTAAAGAAATTAATCAAGAACAATTATTATATCTAGAATCATACTCGATTTGACCGACTCTCGTCGGTTTCTTTATTTAGAAAATATATCTGGGCACGAGATTTCTCACGAATCGAAATGTTAGCGGATGAAAAAGATCTGAGAGAGTACCTTTAGCCACAGAAATCTTTTCGAAATAGCCCTCACAGTTTTTATGCGAACCACAATGAGACGCGATCTATCAGCAGGAAGTAGCTACAAATTCTACTTTACCGTTTTTCAAGCCTAAAAGCTCCTTTCACTCATCCTTAAATCGTTTCTGTCGTCTTTCCCTCGTGACAATAACGCAGGAGGAATGAAAAGGAAAACGACGGAGCCTCTGGATATTGGAAAATACATAGGCTATTCATGGCGATTTAATAATAATTGTGTGAATACAAATGTAATCCGTTTGACGCAAATATTTCAGCGATCTTCACGAATCTTCTCATTAACAGTCTCGAAGCCTCTTTTAGAAATTTTCTTTAAAAAAATTCAAAGAAGATTTGTTAGATTTCAGATAGGATAAATTCCACAAATTACTAGACATTTTTCCACAATTTCGTTCCTCTTCCCTTCTTCGCGTTCTCACAACTGCACTGTTTTAGAAGAAAAGAAGAGAAAAGTGAAATGAAATAATCGAAATAATCTCTCGTGATCGCGACCTCACAATGAAATCTCGTGACTTGAATCTTCATCGTCGATTTATTACATTTTGTGCTGCGTCATGAAGGAAAGGAAGAAAGGAAGGAAGGAGCAAAGCAATTCCAAGTCCAAAAAATTGGAATGCCGCCGCGTTTCTGTTGCAATCTGCATAATAAGGGCAATTTACTGATTTGTATAATTACGAGTAAACCGGTAATCTCGTTCAAACGCATCAGGTTTTGAAAAACCAACTGAGGCCAAACTGTCGTCCCAATTTAGTCATCTCAACAAAATTCCACCGTCCCTCTCTCCCTTTCTCCTTCGCGTAAGAAATAATTCCATTGTACTCTTGTCATCGCGAACGATGTACATGCGATGTACGTCTGTCATGCGCTTCTTTCCTTCGCTCTTTTCGCCGTGTTCCTGTAATTTCGAACACCGCCATGTTGCCGAGACCGAAACGAACGAACGAACGAACGAACGAACGAACGAACGAACGAACGCGATTCTCTTCCTCGATCTACTTCTGCAAAACAGCTCGAGAGGATGGACGATTCGGGGGAGGGGAGGGGGGGGAGGGGGGGGGGAAGCGATATTGAGTTAACTCTTAGCCGCGCGGGTTTCTCAGCTGCTGTTACACGATCTATATAACGCCGTTTCTAAACTTAGAAGTTTCCGCAACACGAAAGGGATGATGAAACATCCGGTTTTTACGAGACATAGAATAGAATCGCACAAGTCATAATTACTTTTCAATTAAAACAAGTAAGTAGAGTACTTGACGATACACCCGGCCTGTTCAATTCAACGACAAGTTATCGCAGTACTTTTTACAGTCTCTTTTAAAAAGAAGATATTTAAAATTAGATTTCAGATTTTTTTATTCCTCATTCCTCATTTCCTGTTTCAGCGTCATCTTTATGGGAATTGAAGTATATGACGATATTGCAATTTTGCAAAGCGATGAATACAAATATTTGTTTCTAATAGTAAATTTGTAAGACCGATGGATATTAAAAATTTAAACAAGGGAATTAAAGTAATGCCATATTTTTACGAAAGATATGAAAAAAACATCCAACATTGTTTTGACATATCCTGGTTTTATTCAATTTTTGTATTATTCGAAACGTTCGAAACTGTCGTTACATTCGATGTTACATTAAGGAATTTTGTTTACCACGCAATAAGTATTATTTTTTTTAAATAAATTGCTAATAAGCGCGTTTTGACCGCTCTTAGTGCCTTCTCGTTTGCAATGATTGTAATTTTCAAGAGTCGCTGAGATATAGATTTTGTTAAATTTGATATGAAAGAAAAAAGTTGTCGCAACAATAACGATAGCAAAGTTCATCTTCATCGAATTGGAAGTACGCACGCATTCCTTTGCCGCAGACGGTGACAGAGCTACACGATACAATTTTAGCAAAATGAAAAAATATCCGAGGACCCAACATCGCGTGTTGCTCGTGTCCCTCGCTCATTTCAACGGAATGATTAGGACAAGGACCTTTTGGGAGCGGGCCACTCCCACGCTTCCGGCGAATACCTGAACGATACCCGGTTGCTGCGTGTGTACCACCGGTACCGGGAAAAGAAAAAGGGAAACAGGAATGAGACACGACAAAGATCGGACAAAGATGGGAAATCATTTCAACGGAATCTTTTCTTTCGTTTTCTTTTTCTTCCCTTTTCAAATAATCTCAGGATTTTTTTTTTTTGTCAAAAATAAAAGCAGATACGAGACGAATTTTTATCGCAACAATTGAAATGTCAATTAGTAGGATAAAGATTTTGCTTGGGTATCTTTATTTTCTCTGTTAAAGAAAAAAAAATATGTATTTTCATCATTATTCATCAATATTTTAAGAATATTAAAGGGAGCAAGAGTTGAATTAAAATGAAATTTCAGGATAACACCGTTTCCAGAAGAATAATTATTATCGTCGTGCGTTTTTCGATTGCGAGCAGACATCTTTTCTCGATTAACTTCAATTTTTTCTTTCTCTCGGTGTGAAAAAGATATCGAGTGGCGGTGGCAGTTTCGCCAGGAGCAAATTCGCCAGAATGCGAATTCTTCGACACGACGCAAATCGCTCGTCATCGACACTTCGCGTTTTTGCACGGGGCGGATCGTTTTCTGAAATCCTCTCGAAGCGCCGAGAGGATTCGCTGGAAAGCTTCACGCACGGACGTTCGATTACGATTTCTTCCGGCTCCGGACCACCGGCTCGCGTTTTCGGTTCCCGTGAAGGGTTTCTCGCGTGCAGCGACACGGATCAAAGCGTGAAACCCGGGATTATGGACGGATATCAGGCTCGACTCGCCACCGTTCGGCCATCTCGATTGCATCGCGAAGACAGGTGGTGCGCGGCGCTTCTTGGGAGCCGCCACAGGTGAACGCGCGTGATAATCTACCGGAAGCCGAGGAATCGATGTTCATCGATCGACGTTCATCGATGGCAATCTTAATTACTAACGACGGGCGCGAATGAGTACGCGCTGTTGCGCGTTAATATGTGCGAAAATCTCTGTGTGTTTTTGAGAATGCGAATGGCAAAACTTTCACACCTTTCCAGCTAGCAGGAGTCTTCCGCGTGCAAAACTTCAGTTTACTCTGATCTTCGATCATTAGGTCTTAAGAAAAGTTAATTAAACTCTTCAAAGTTCATTACAAACTCTGCGGTTCGTATTTTAAAATTTAATAACGTTCATGTGGAAAATGTAGGAAAGTAGTATATAAAAAAGTAGTATTTTACATCAAATAAAACTTACACACACACACACACACACACACACACACATCTTCTATATAAAAGCTGTAGATATAAAAACATATAGATATATCAAATTTATACAGTAGATATTATTTTTTTTTATATACACATATAAAAATTAATAAGTTTTCTTGTTTTTTCTCTCTTCTCATTAATTACATTTCTGCGTTGTCAAGCATATTCCTGCGAAAAGAACAAGATGCGTCTCAAGGTGCGGAGTCACCGTCCGGAGTCAACAGCACACCGCGACACCGCGGTTTCCTCCTTACCCCCCCTTCCCCCCCCTTCCCCCCTCGCGTATATGAACAATTATGCAAACGACCCAATCATCTTTAAGAGCGTTTTAATTGACAGACGCGTGAGAAACTCACGCGTGCGTTCTGCACGCGACGTGTGCGTGCCGTGCGTTCCGCGCGGCGCCGAAGCCCATTGTTCCCGGCGTCGTTATGCAAGCTTCATCGCATCCTCTCGCAGCCCCTCTCGCGGTCAATTAGCGATAATTATTAAGAAATTACTAACTCGTCGTGGAGTTACGCCGAACTTCCCCCTGTTTTGCGATAGACCGGAAGCCCGCGAATTCCTCGAGCGCGCGGTGCGCAGAATGCGAGCAATTAATTGTTTCGATCGAACGCGCGTTGCCGCTTCTGTTACCCTACAGCATATTGCGTGCTTCGTTTCTCTTTTTTTTAGTCAGGGGAAATACGCGCCTAATGAAGACGGACATAATTCATTTGTATCGCAAATCCTATGCGAATATGTCCTTTAACGTAAAAGAGATTTGTAAAGGATCGCGTCGACGCGAGAAAAAAATAATGATGCGAAAGGGCATTTATGGTATCTCTGTTGCTTACAATTCAGCAATCTCTTTCCCGTATTCATTTTATTACTTTTATTTTATTTCAAACGGAGAGAGAGAGAGAAAGAGAGAGAGAGAGAGAGAGAGAGAGAGAGAGAGAGAGAGGACGGACGGTAAGGTTAGTT